CACATTGAGGGCCTTCTACAGAGTTGTAACCACCTGGATTTTCCAAAGGGCCTTCAGAGATTGATTCTAGAAGCATCAGTGCCAGATTTTTTCCTATTCTATTGATAGATTATTTTCTTTTTTAAATATTCTTTTCTTTTTACTATTATCAATAGAGGCAAATATGTGTAGCTCAGGGTTGAACTCTGAAGTCCTTGGGGTTCTCTGAGCTTGGTTCTTTTCTTGCAAACATTTCATTACTCATGCAGATGGGAGAAATTTGCATGCAGGCAAACCTCCACCAAGGAACAACTATTCTTTCTTCATGAATGCCTACGACAGCATACCCTACCCACCAGCGTCAGATACAAACCCCCAATAAACAGCACAGCTGGATGGAAAATAGCACAACAAAATGGCCGCAAAATGGTAAGACTTATGATCATGGATGCACACCACAGATTTAACAAGTGCCAGTGTACAATAGACAACCTCAAGGAACAACTAGAACTGACCATGACCCCAGAGCATACTAATATACTGACAACCACCATCCAGAACACGTCCCAAAGACAAGCAGAGAAAAGAAAAACAAGACTTCAAACTAAACTACTCAAACCCCAGAAACAAAGAGGCACCTGAACCAGAATGGGTAATCAACATGTCCAGCTGACCACTATCCATAGCAGAATACAATATCCTCCAGAAAATCCTCAACTATAACATGGACAATGTCAATCAACTAGATTTCTATGCAGCCCTAGAAGCAGCATTCAAAACTACAGGACTTAACACAGAGACCCAACAAAACATAAGGCAATCATACCACAGATCAGAAGAACATGGTATCAACACCAACTCAGCTAAGGAAGGACCAAACCATCATCATCCTCCCAGCAGACAAAGGCTGAACCACAGTTATTATGGATAAATCACAATACCTGCAAAAAGCCAAAAAGTTATTTAAATCACAATACCTGCAAAAAGCCAAAAAGTTATTTAAATCACAATACCTGCAAAAAGCCAAAAAGTTATTAGAGGACAAAGAAACCTACATCCTAGTTAGCACCAACCCAATACAGAGACTAGACAACCTAATCAAGAGAACCCTCAATGACCTAACTAGAAAGGCCAGATCACAAAGGAAGAACAGTGGCGGAGGAAAAGTGGTGGATCCATCCCCCCATGCTTCTATGGACGACCAAAAATACACAAGCCTGACATATTGCTCCGACCAATTGTATCTTTACCAGAGACTCCAACATACAGCATAGCGAAAGAACTGACAAAAAAGCTTGGGCATCTCACAGAGAAGAGTTAATATTCTATCAACTCCTCACTACAGTGCCTCCAGAAAATCAAAGATGTACACATAGATGAAGAAAAAATTATGGTCTCATTTGATGTCACAGTACTCTTTACGTCCACAAACCCAGAACTAGAGAAAGAATCCATATCAGCAGTACTACACAACACACCCGACCTAACCAAAGACACCCAGATCGAAATACCCAGAATCATGGACTTCATCAACCTCTGCCTCACCACCTATTTTCAGTCTGATGGACAAATATACCAATCTGAGGCACACCCATGGGATCACCACTGTCAGGACTGATAGTGGAGATTGTAATGCAGCGCATAGAAGCCATAGCACTCCCACATGTATAACCAAAATATGGATCTGGTATGTAGATGACACCTTTGTTATAATAAAAAAGGAGCAACTAGAGAAGACACATGAAACCATCAACAACATCTTCAAAGGAATGAAATTCACCAGAGAGGAAGAAAACAACAACATGGTACCTTTCCTGGATATCCTCATCAGCAGAGGAAACAAGAGTAAATTAGAAACCCAAGTTTATCACCCCCACTAATCAAGTACTACATTACCAAAGTAACAACCCAACCTCCCACAAGAGGAGCTGTGCACAAACACATTGCAGCAACCCTGAACAGCAGAAAAAGGAAACAGACTACCTATACAACATCGTCTAAAAAAATGGATATCCACGCAACTTTAGCAAAAAGTGCCTGGCCACTCAACCTACTACAACACAACCAACACAAGCTATGAAAAGGATAACACTGCCATACATCAGAACCATCTCAGAAACCACCAACAGACTATTAAAACCACATGGCATCTCCGTAGAACACAAACCAACTAAAGCCCTCCAAAATATCTTAAGTAAACCGAAAGTGCCCAGTAGCACAAGAAGAAAAAACAGGAGTCATCTACAACATACAGGGCAAGAGCTTTAAGAAACACAATGTAGGACAGATAGGCAGAAGACTGGCAGAGCGCATCCATGAACACCAACGAGCAGTCAGAAGACATGATGGAAATTCCTTAATCTCACAACACATGGCCAGACTCAACCATAGCTTCAACTGGGAAATGGTCAGCATCTTAGACCAAGCTAAATCCAAAAATGCGAGGGAATTCCGGGAAGTTTGGTGTTCAGACAAGGCAGCCATCAACAGGCACAC